ATATATATATATATACACACATACATACACACACACACACACACACACACACACACACAATCTCAGGGCTAACTACAACATACAACAAAAGCACCTCCTGCCCGACCAGTATTGCTTCAGTAGTATAAAGTAAAATGGCAATTCACAAAGTATTTTTTTGCTTAATCTTTTCTCCAGAACTTCATCTCTTACAGACCCAAAATGATCCTAAAGAAGCTAGAATAATGTGTGGAAAAGGTATTGTCCAACTATTTGGAGAGAACAGTCCATAATGGGAAAATTGCTAATATTTTACAGGCTACTAGTATTTAGTTATTCATGAAATACATCTTCAGCTCTTGATGTTTCGAGGCACATTAACTATATAAAATATAAAAGGAAATTAACAACTATGTGAGTATATTATATATAAATAGAAGTCACCCATATTTCCAACACTGAAAAGCACTAACACTTCATGCTGCACATGATGTTTTTATAGTAATTACACAATGGTTTGAATGGAAACAAGTCTTTTTCCACATATTTATAGTTTGATTTTAGAGTATTAAAAATTCCCCATTATAAGCAATCACTAATTTAATTTCTTTAAAAAAATTTTCAGTGATAATATAGCAACAGGACAATAGTTTTTCATTATTTTGGAAAACTTGCCCAAAATGTGTACTTAAGCGTTAGGAGTAGTGGTAAAGTTACACCCTTACTGCAGACACCTGCAGTGCACATGGGACGGTTCAGGGGAAAAGGGGTGCTAAGCCTGTCTGCCTTGCCCCATTTTCTTGTGGCTAACTCCACCTCCTGGGATGGGAGACGTAGGGATTACCCAGTCTTGTGTTCTTGTTCCCTCCTACAAAAAACAGTTTCCCCTTCTGGGGGTAATTGTGTGTTTACAAAACACAACTCAACATTTTCCATCATTTTGGGATAAACCAAAATAAAGTTTTAAAGTTTCAATTGGAGATTTCAAAGCAGAAAATGCTTTCAACAAAATCCAATGCCTTAGATCTAAAGAAAGTATATGCTGTCTGTTTATTAGAAAATCATTTTCCTCCTTTTTGATGTAAGAATTTTTTAACACTTGAATTTAACAGGTTTTTCTTCTGGAAAAGTTCTTTGGCATTCAGGTAAAATCAATACTTTCAGAATGGTCACCTGCATCACATTGGAGTGATTGCTTTAATTTCTAAATCATTGGTTAATATAACCCAGGGATACTGATGGCCTTGATACATTATTAGTTTTGTCTTATTCCAGAGTATGGGATTCAGTATTTTAGAGGCATCATCTGACCCCATTTCTCTTTACAACAATGGTTCCTGCTACAATGTCATAGGCTGTTCGATTATGCTGAAAAAATAGCAATGTGATGAAAGCAGGGAAAAAAGAGGCAATAGAAAAATTCTTGATCAAAGCTCGTATGGTGGACCTAAAAAAATCAGAAGTATCAAGTAAGTTGTACATCAGCCATATAATAATTGTATCCTATCAAATTCAAGTATGTATTTAAAATGTATTCAAAGTATAGTGGAGAATTTTAACCTTATATAAGTCATGTGACACCACCATGATTAGAACACCTGGGCTATTTCTAAAAACTGCATTAATATAGAACACTTTAGAACTTTCATATGAAAAGTGCTAATAAATATCTCAGAATATGAATTAAGGGCTTACAATATTTTCATATTTTGCTAGAAAAAAAGAGTAATCAGTCACCTTGCTTAACTTTTCCATAGTCACCTTATTACCATGTATTCCCAGTATTTTCTAAACTGTGTATAATTACTGTAGTCTTCCTGTGTATATTTACTTATGTGAAGCACTAGTATTTTAAATTACAATTTTCATCAGCTGTTTCCTTTTGTGGACCCAGTAATTAAAAGAAGCCCCTACTCCTTTAAAGCTTTCAGTAGGTAAGAAGGGAGAATTATCCTATAGAACCTATCCTGGATTTCTGTCTTACTGCACTAAAAGGTGACCAAAGAATGCAGTGGCTAAGAGTGTGGGCTCAGAATCCAGGCTGCAAACACATCTTTTAATTACTGCAAAAAGGGAATGACAGTATCTTTAAACTATTAAGATTAAATTAGTTAATACATACACAGTTATGAACAGTGCCCAGTATATGAGAAGTGTTCAAAAAACATCAGACATTAAAAAACAAAACAAAAATAGGCATTATTGCCTTTTTAATTAGCCAGGGTTATAATCACAAAAGCTTAAGTAAATTTTTGAGTATGTTAGTAAAATCAAGCCACCTTCTAGTCACCTGTTCCTATTCCCTTATGAAACAGTCCCTCTGAATCACCTGGCAACAATTTCAGCCAGACTGTGTTGAACTCAACTGGTCATCACCCACTCAGTCCCCCAACTTCCACTACTTGCAGGTATGTGCTACCCCAGATATGGATGGCAACAGCTAGTGGGACTGGAGGGATCGCAGGCCCTGCCTGTTACAAGCAGGAGCTGGATGCATCTGTGTACACAGCTGTCACACTCATTGCCTGTGCAAGTAACAATGGCTATTACCAGATGGTGGTTCAATGCAGAGCTGGAGCTGAGCCAGGCATGGAGCACTGATTGAGCATTAATACCCAAATCATCCTCTCACTACTGTGAATTATATATATTGAAACCATTAAAAGACAAAGGCTTATAAACTTAGCAAATGTCAGCCTATCTAATAATGGTATATGCCACAAAAAAATTACCAATATTCTATAAGCAGTATATCATGACAAGACAATGAATAGTCCTGTATTACTTAACAGTGGGACAGACACAACTGAGAAATCCATCATTAGGTGATTTTGTCACTGTACAAAAAATCAGTACTACACTAAGATGCTTCTGAAGTCATTAGGCAACATACTAGTGGCACCTTGGCTCTGCATGTGGTCCATCACTGACCAAAGTAACTAGTGTGAGACTGTACCAAAATATATTATACTCTGATAGGTGCATAACAGATTAAGAAGAGGAGACAAGGACTTACGTTGTAATGCTAACATTTGAGGAAGGAATCACTAAAACCCGACTTGGAGCAATAAGCACCGATGTATCACAGGTCACAACTCGAAGCCCCAGCAGGAACTTCCCTGGAGTCGCGCCATCTGTTCCCCAAATGCAAATTATCTAAGGAAAGAAGGAGAACTTAAAAACAATTTGCCAGCTTAACTACACCAATTAAGTTTTCATGCCATATTATTTTCATGTTTAAAAATTTTAAATGAAAGAATGCCATCGTTAACCACAATGCATTTCTACAGTGTCTTGATGTATTTAATACCACAAGATGTGCACTATGTAACGTTTCTCCATGGCCCATTGTATTTTTAAAAGTTGTTTCTAAGGATAAATACATTCAAGTTCCACAATAAACCTACATAATCTGAGTAGATTATGGACCATTATTTGAATAGAATTTTTTTCCAAGACTGAGAAACATTACAAAGAAATTACAGAAAAGTGTTTTTAAATTTATAAAACAATATGTCAAAGAATAATGAGAAAAACAGAGAAGCCAGAAAGCCACTTGAAAAAATACATGAACAACTATAAATTTTCATTGTTTTGGCTGATAATCTAAAATTAGGTTAAAAATTAACTTTGCTGCAATCGGTAGCTTACCTCATAGAAACAAACTAATAGTCTGTATATAAGCGCCACAACCATCATTTTCTGCAAGTCTTCCATTGATGTGTCTTCATCGATTTCTTCTATTATGTAATGCATAGCAAATTTAGAGATGTCCCTACACAAAATAATTAGTTTGGTGTTGTAAAGAATTATTCAAACAACTGCAGTCTTTTTTTTTTTTTGCTAGTGTACTCACAGATTTTAATTCAAAGTCTAAGCTAATGTTTAGGTTCCCAACCATCTAACTGCACAAAATGTTCATTAGCTAATTGGACTATGCAAAAAACTGATTAAAAAAATGCACGCTTATCCCTTGGGCTGAGGGTACAGCCCAGTGGTACAAAGCTTGTCTGGACTGCACAAGGCCCTGGGTCAGATCCTCACTAATGCAAAAACCAAACCAAACCAAACCAAACTTCAAATAAGCAGCAGTGTCACGAGGAGACTAGCCCTGGGGACATGTGACTGAATTAAAAATATACCTGTTTTCACCAGACTAGCAAGAAACAGAATAAGTAATAATGATAAATTACAATGGGAACTTTAATGATAAAAAGAACATAGAGCACTATGGAAACATATCTGTTAGCCTTGTGAAGGTTCCCAGAAATGACATTTAAGCTAAGAGCTGAGGGATGGAGAAAAGTTGGCCAGACTAAGAAGGGAGAAGAAAGTTCCAGAGAGAAGGAACAGCAGCAGAGAAAGCCGTGGATTAAAAGATAAAACAGGAGACTGAGTTACCACTTGGAAGACTTTGGCTATAAGAAGGAGACAGGTAAGTGGACTAGGGAGAAGCAATGAGCAGAAAAAAAGTCACAGGGAGGAAGAAATGGTCTGGGTTGAAAGGTACTCAGGAGACTGAACATAATGGTACTTGATAAGGATGTGTCAGGAGTAGGAGGGAGAGGATGGAAGAGATCACAGTAATACTCAGGGCCCTCAAATTTGACTACAGGTTTGCACCTTTTAAAGTTCTGGGCTTCATTTATCATAACTCAAATTCCAATCTCAATAAAACGGAGGTATTACTTTCTACTTCATAGTGGTACTAAGAGGTAAGTTCGATGCTTTACACACAAAATGCTTAGCAAGTTATTGCAGTTATGGTTATTATTAACCTGAAAAGACTACTGAAGTAAATGTCTCAACAGTTAACTCGGGACTTGCCTGATAACATAAGCAACCCCATTTGGAAATGACACTAGTTGCATTTTTTTTCCCCTCCATACCAGGAATTGGACCTAAACTTCTGCACTGAGCTATATCCCGTCCTTTGGGGGGGGGGGAATTGGAAAGGGTCTCACTAAATCAGTAAAGTGCTCAGGTTGGCTTGAATTTGCTATCTGCCTAGGTTCCCAGAAGGCTGGGATTATAGGTTTGGGCCACCATGCTCCTGGCTCACCAGTTGATTAGTAACAGCTGACTTACCACATGCTCTTTATGCCTTTGTTTTTAGATACTCCACAGGACAAGAAGAGGAAAATTAGTTCCTGGCCTAAGACAATGGTTGAATAAAAACAAACCAGTTTTGGAGGGTCTTTTTATCTACTTTTATTTAATTTTATTTTTTGGTACCAGGGATTGAACCTCAGGACTTTGTGCTTTTGGGGCAGGTGCACTGAGCTAAATCCCCAGCCCTTTTTACCTACTTTTAATAGATGAATCTCCCACAGATCTAGAAGAATTTAAGAGAGTTTTTCTTCTTTGTAGTTATTTCTTAATACCAACAACAAAGAAAAGATTAATCTGACAAAGCTCTGATAAAGAAATTGTGATACTGGCACACCTATTATCCATAAGGTCATTTGCAGGCATGAATAGAACGTTAACAGAACAAGATCTCTGAAACCTTTCTGCCAATGTCTTCAACTTACTTTATTCCACTCAGATGCATAATGCTTAAGACAATGGTTGCTTTTATAAAGAAGAGAATAAAGAAATCCACCATCTCTGCCATAAATCTGTGGGCCAAGGATGGAATAACATATTCTCTGCCTGCAAGTTAAAAAGAAAAAAGGAAAACTAATTATTCCACATAGTCCCAGAAAAAAAGTCAGGCAATGAATGGGAAATAAATGCTAAGTTAAGGAACTTGATATTAAAAAAAAAAAAAAGTGACCTTGCAGGAATTATTGGTATTGATTCCATCATGGTACATGTTACTAACATACAGCAACACTACTATTTAGTAACAATTTAAAATTTGCTTTCACCACTTCAGTGTTTACAAATTGATACCATAGATAAATTTGAATAGGGTAAAATACATTTTAATTAAAGACTCATGAGAATCTGGGTAAACACATCCAGGTGACATTTTTTTTTTTTTTTTTGGTAAACATCAAAAGTACAGTTTGTATATCCCTGTACATCATACCCCCAAATTCATTTCTTTTACTTTCTCTAAAATAAACTCACTGAGTACCAATCTGTCACACTCAACTTGGAGTACGATCATATTGAGGCATCACCTCATCTTTGCCATATATAAATATATCTGTGGCTGTATAAGAAGTCTAATCAGAAGGCTGAATACTGAGCTAAAATGTGTAACCAAAATATTCTCGTTCCCACACAGAGGTGAACGAATGATAACCAAGATCAGTAAGCCAGGCCCAGCCAAAGCTTGATTATTCCATTTGCATGCATTTATATCCGTTCAGGTCCACTTGGCCCTAAGCAGCCAAAGTCCCGATTATGTTTGCCACCGGCGAGTCTGGCTTTGGTTCTCTCCAGGGGCTGGAGATCAAGGTAATAGCATGTTTTTAGGAGCAAAGGTTTTTTTTGTGGTTGTTTGTTTTTTGTACATTTGAGGCTTGACTCTCGAGTAAGGGAATCCTTTCGCAGCGGCAAGTCTAATGCGAGAAGAAATCGCACTGTTTCGCCATACGTCTTGGGAATTTAAATCCTGGGCGAGCGACAGCTGAAGCACGCGGAGAGGCACTAGCCCGAGTGCAGCGCTCAAACGCCGCGCCAGCTTTACCCCGCGGGCGGCAACACGCAGACCTTCCGCGAGCTCGACCCCGCACTCACCTGCCTGCCGCTC